CATTGGCTGGAATGGCCACTACCTTGCTTTGGTCACCTATTCTGGCTAGCCAATCCCTCCTGATAGGCCCATGCTCCCCGCTGGGCCCCGATAAGCTCCGCCGCTCCCCTGCTTCCATTCAAGGATATGTGGGGGGCGGGCAAAAGCCTGTGCTTTCACAGTTGCAAGCACCGGTCTTATTTGGAGTCGGTCTGGGTCAGTCCTTCGTCCTTCTCCATGGTAAATCATTTCAGAGGCTAGCCATGTTGGTCTTCAGTAGAACAGATAGATTCAAATCCAGTACCTCTTTGGAGATGAACAAAATTTTCAGGGTTATATATTTGGGAGAGTCAAAACTCTGACAAAAGGAGCTTTGGCTCATCAAGTCTCATACCCTGAAAATCTTGTTGGTTTCTAAGGTGCTATTGGACTAGAATCTAGCTGTTCTCCATGGTAGATGAAGCTGAGCATTGACTCAGACAAGGTCCACCATTCAAAGGTTCCTCAAATAACTTACCTTGCAAATTATGCAGTGTCCTCAATATTGTGGCCGTGTCCAATGTAAATGATCCTAGACAGTCACTCGTGCATCCTTCCACCCAAATATTGTTTCTCTGAATCACTACAGAACTGGAATGTATGTATACTGATCTGCACCTTATAGGTTCCCAGGGGACCAATTTCTTGGTTTAGGAAATTATTCTACTGTGTAAATCTTTCCTAGTCAATTTTCCTTTTCATTTTTTTCTTATGGGAGGAGAAGTCAGGAGGTAAAGGGACAGCGCATATTCTTATATGCTAATATTTACTGGAGTGAGCTTTGTATGTGACCGTGTGCATGCATGCACGCGTGCGCACACACACACACAAAACTCTGCCATTTTTTCAACAGTTTTGTAATGGTTGAATCTATTGCTAAAGCATAAAAATTGATCCATCACTGTGCTTTAATGTTCCAGATAAATAACAAACAAGTAAGATAATGCCCCCAAATTCTATACATTATTAAAATGTTACAACATTACAATAAAAACATTAAAAAACTTAAGAGAAAGCCATTAGCAATAATGGATAGTAAAAAAAGTAGCTTCATTCTCCTTTCTCAAAGGCTCTTCTGCAGAGGACTGCACTTAGTCTTTTTTAAAAAAGTATATAGAGGAGTATAACATTAGCACCATTGTGGGCAGTGTTCTCTCTAAGCTGAGTTAGTGTGAGCTAGCTCACAGTTTTTTATCCTCCGGCTCACACATTTTTGTCTCATCTCAAGAAGGATGTCTCCAGAGCAAACTAACTGCAGAGCAGCCAAATTGCTCGCTCACAACTTCAATGCTAGTGGCTCACAAAGTAGAATTTTTGCTCAAAAGACTCCATGGCTTAGAGGGAACATTGATTTGTGGGGCTAATATTTACAAAGCTTGAACAGTCATGGAGCTGAAATCAGCTCTTCACAAATGATGCATTTTGAAATGTGATAATCATTTGAAGAATCATTTGAAGAATCTGTTTGGCCATTAGCCGAATGTTACATGGGGGTCCCTGCCAACAGGGTTGGGTATGGTCATTCAACCTATAATTATTCTCATCATACCCTAAGAGAAGCCATGTTGGATCAGGCCAATGGCCCACCCAGTCCAACACTCTGTGTCACAGTGGCCAAAAACCAGGTGCCATCAGAAGGTCCACCAGTGGGGCCAGATCTCCAGAAGCCCTCCCACTGTTGCCCCCCCAAGCACCAAGAGAATAGAGCATCACTGCCCCAGACATTGAGACCTAATAGCCATTGACTTCTGCTCCATATGTCTATCCAATCCCCTTTTGAAGCTATCTATGTTTGTACCTGCCACCACTCACTGTGACAGTGAATTCCAAATGTTAATTACTCATTGGGTGAAGAAGTACTTCCCTTTATCAGTTCTAAGCCTACTGTTCATTAATTTTATTGAGTGCCCACAAGTTCTTGTATTGTGACAAAGGGAGAAAAAGCACTTCTGTATCTACCATCTCTATCCCATGCATAATTTTAAACCTCTATCATGTCACATCTCAGTCGTCATTTCTCCAAGATAAAAAGCCCTAGCCTCTTAAAACATTTCTGCATAGGGAAAGTGTTCTATACCCTTAATCATTTTATTTGCCCTTTTCTGCTCTTTTCCCAATGCTATAGTATCTCTTTTTGAGGTGTGGTAACCAGAACTGTACACAATATTCCAAATGAGGCTGCAACATTAATTTACACAGGGACATTATGATATATGGCTGATTTGTTTCAGACCCCTTCCAAATAATCCCAGTTCTGATTTTCAGCTCACAAGTCATCATGGATGTCAAAAGCAGTACGTTCACTGGCTGAACATGTTTGCCTTAGTGGCTGATCCTTGTCTGGGCCACCCTGGGTTTCCTTGAGAACTTCTGGAGCACTTCCCAACCAACCCTCTTAGAGGCCTTGGTCATTCAATGACTTCAGAGGAGAAACTGCCACTATGACCTTTGAAATGCCGCAGTCTTGACTAGATTGGCTGCTATTTGTTCAAATTATCTCTCTGTCTTACCAAACTCGTTGGGGTTTAAATACAGTGATCACACACCACATGCCTACTTCTCTTTCATATCTCACAACCCTTCCTCTACCAGGCCCCTGGGCCTGGGAGAACAACAGGTTTCCACAACTATTACTTAACTATAGCACAGAAAAGCTTGACACAGGTCTGTAGGCAATTTTGTATTATTATTATGTTGGATCAGATCCATCAGTCTGGAAATTCTAATTGGGCAGAAGGACAAAATGTAAAGTAACTCAAATCAGGAAATACCACTACACACAGGATCAATAACTTTCATTACATTTCCTCTTCTTTAAAAAAGAATTAATAGGAACCTTAACAGCCATAGTTCTTTCTCCTTCTAGAGGAGATGCGGGGGGGGGGGGGTATAAGGCAGAGAATGAATTGTGCCATTAATTTTTCAGGTGCTCATTCATTTTGTAGAGGAGATTTGACCACTGGCCTTCTCTGCTTCTTAGTGGGGCCACTGGCAGGAGATGAATACTAACATGAAATCAGTTGCATCACTTTTGACATGGTTCAGTGTTTGACTTATGTGCAGGGATTCTAAGAATGTTTACTTGTAAGTAAAGTACAACAGAAGTCCAGTGGCACCTTAAAGACCAGCAGCATTCATTTCAATATGTGCTTTCATAAGTCATAGCTCACTTTTTCACATACATACGGAAAGCAAACTCAGAATCCTCCTTATAGAGCAGATGGGGTGGGGGATAAGGCAAAGAATGAATTATGTCATGAATCTTTCAAGTGTAGATTCACTTTGTAGAGGAGAAAGTACAAAGGCTAGGTGTGAATAACAGGGACTGATAGGGGTGGCCAACCTCCAGGGGGAGCCTGGAAACCTCCAGATTTACAAGTGATCTCTAGACTAAAGATGTTGTTCCCCTGGAGAAAATGGCTGCTTTGATGGGTAGACCCAATGACATTATAACCCACTGACATCCCTCCCCTCTCTGCTCCACCCCCAAATCTCCTGTAATTTCCCAACACAGAGTTGGCAAAACTAATTGACTGATCAGTTTTGAAAAATGTTCCACAGATAGCTAGTGTTTACAGCCATTTTTTCACCCTGAATAAAACATTGTTGGTCTTAAACATCTCTCTCTCTTTCTCTCTCTCTCTCTCTCTCTCTCTCTCTCTCTCTCTCTCTGTGGCTCTCCCACCCCCTCCGAAGAAGTGTGCAGGCACACAAAAGCTTATACCTGGAATAAAATGCTGCTGGTCTGCTTCTCAAGGAAAATCTTGTGGGGCTGTCCCATTAAGAAAAGGGGCAGAGCCCCAAATTGCCCCACTGTAGCTATGGGCCTATTCCCAACCAATCCTCTTAGGGGCCTCGGTCTTTCAATGACTTCTGAGGAGAAACTGCCACTATGACCTTTGAAATGCCTCAGTCTTGAGTTGGCTGCTATTTGTTCAAATTATCTCCTTGTCTTGCCAGACTGGCTCAGATTTAAATACAGTGATCACAACCACATGCCTACTTCTCTTTCATATCTCACAACCCTTCCTCTACCAGGTCCCTGGGAGAACTACAGGTTTTCACAACTACATATGATTATTACATTACTAAACTATAGCACAGTAAAGCTTGATGCAGATCTGTGGGCAATTTTTTAAAATTATTATAATCAGTCTGGAAATACTAACTGGGAAATACTAACTCAAATCAGGAAATACCACTACACACAGGCCCAATAACTTTTATTACTTTTCCACTTCTTTAAAAAAAGAAATAATAGGAATCTTAACACCTGTAGTTCTTTCTCCTTATTATTTCTTCTTTCCTGTTCAGCTCAGGCTTTAGTACAATGATGTACAACTTGGAGAAAAAGATAAAGCCCAGTAACCCAGCACTGGAGGACAAGATGGAGAAGATCTCCACAGCTACCATGTATTTCCCTTTGGTGCTCAGGTAGGTTGGAACAAAAGACAACCAGACACTGCAAAAGACCAGCATACTGAAAGTGATAAATTTGGCTTCATTAAAACTGTCTGGCAACTTCCTGGTGAAGGAAGCCACAATCAAGCTGATGAGTGAAAGAAGTCCCATGTAGCCCAGGACAATGTAGAACATGATGACAGAACCTTCATTACATTCTACTATTATTTCTGTAGTTAGTGGTTGCGTGTGAAGATCTGGGAATGGGGGAGATGTTGCTAGCCATATGGTGCAGAAGACAGCTTGGATAAGGGAGCAGGAGAAGACAATGAAGTTGGTTGTTCTTTTCCCCACCCACTTCCTTATGCTGGCTCCTGGTCTGGTGGCCATGAAAGCTACCACCACAGTAATGGTTTTGGCCAGCACACAAGACACAGCCACTGAGAAGATCAGGCCAAAAGCTGATTGGCGGAGAAAGCAGGTGACCTTCCTAGGTTGTCCTATGAACAGCAAAGCACAGAGAAAACACAACAGGAGAGAGAGGAGGAGAACATAGGTGATATCCCTGTTGTTGGCTTTGACTATTGGGGTATCTTTGTGTTTAATGAAAGTTGCCAATACCAAAGCTGTTAGGAGGGAAAAAGAAGCAGCAATCAAAGCCAAACTGATCCCTAAAGGTTCTTCAAAAGAAAGGAAGCTTATTGCCTTAGGAATACATTGATCTTTATATTTGCTTGGATATTGGTCTCTTGGGCATTGGATGCAGTCATCCATGTCTGGAAAGGAAGAAAAAAGAATGACATCACAAAAGCAAGACTTGGATCAGAATTTCCTTATGTGTGACTTCTGCAGGAAACGTTATTCAAATTAACTTTCTACTACTGTTTTTTTTTGTTTGGACCCAGCTACTTGAACAGTTAGTTTTATATCTTGAACTCCTCCTGTACATTCCTCTATGTCACCAATACTTTTTTTTCTCCCTGCAAAGCAAAGACTTTGGCCAATTGGCATACATACTATTTTCACTGAATTATGGATATTTCAACTACTTGGGGCAGCCTGGAAATTGTCAAATGTCTAGTGTTGTGCTCAATTCTTAATTGCCAGTTCAGAACGTGAATTCTCATGGTGTTTAATACTTACCTCCTACCACCACCCAAGCTAAGCACTGCATTTAGAAACAGACACAGATATCATTTTAGAGCTTCTGCAGACGATCCGCTTTGAGTGCACCTTCACAAATCAAGTGGAAGTATCACTGGAGAGAAGTCATTTTCCATGGTGGCAGTAGGACTCTGGAATTCTCTCCCCAGAGATGTTCAAATTGTGCTGAGATGTCTAGTTTTGTACACCAGGTGAATTGCTTCATTTGCTTACCTAAGGTAATAGAGAATTTGTCTGGTTCTCAGTATTCCCCCCTTCTCCTGTTCTGATCTACATCCTCCCCCTCTTTTATAATAGGTGCTTTGAATGCTGCTTTGGCACAATCCCATTTATCAAGATTCATCAGAAATGTAGCATCTACACTTCCTGATAGAAGATCCTTAGACCTTTTGGGAACTAAGTTTTGTCAAGGTTCCTGACAGTCCAACATACTGTAGGAGTCTGAGAAGTGGGAGATGTAGAGAGAGACATTGTCATTGTTCCCATCAACCTGCCTTCTTCACAGCCTCCATAGAAACAAGACACATTGCATCACCTACCCCTTTGGCTTGAGATCTTCCCTTCTGGGCATGGAGCACAATCATAGCAGCAAAACTTCTCCCCTTCTTTCCTTTTCTTCTGACTGCCAGGATAGCAGTAATCATTACACACAGAATGGGGTGTCCCCTGTATAAAACAGTGGAAGTGGTTTAAGACAGGAGAAATTAGATATCATTTCACTGCTAAATAGGTGACTGTAGATGAATGAGTAAAAATATCACATTTACAACCAGGGCTTTGGGTGGGGGGGAGGTGCCAGAACTCTCAAGAGGGAAATGAAGTTTTCAATCTGTATACTGAAGCTCATGAACTTTTAAACATTTTAAAAATAATTTTGTCAAAGAGGTTCCAGAACTCCGTTCCCGCGCATTCCCCCAGAAAATAAGCCCTGCTTACATTACTCAGTCTCTTCCCGATTTTGCTATATTTTAATTGTTCAAATGTGTGTGCTTTTTGCTCACAAAAATTTGGGACTAGACACTCATTGGCTACTGTTCCCAATGTCTCTTCCTAGAGAAGAGTTTTTACATGGCTGCCTAATTGTAATGAAGGCATGGAATACGTTTCACACCGCTTCACATATATGGAAAATAGGCAATGGTTTTTGAGAGTTGTAAGGGAGAGGGCTATCAAGCACTTTTGATATTTCACTAGCCTGAAACATGCAACCCGTACATGCATTTGGTCAACTGGTGGAGAGGGAGAAGGCGCAAGCATGGACTGCCTTCTGTACAATTGGCAGCTGGTCAAAACTGTGTCTACACGTGAGAAACTGTGCACACATGCTCCCTCCCCGTGACTTGGGGACAATGCTTTGTGAATGTTCCTGGGATTGAGAATGGGAGAATATCTCCACTCTCCTTTCATACGTGGGCAGAGCACTGATGAGATGGTGATCACATGGAGGCAGAGGACGTGTCCTGTTAGTGCATAGTGAATGAATGGAGGAGCCATATGGCCAAGACTTTGGGGTGCAGCTGTGGCTCAGTGGAAGAGCATCTGGGGAATGGGATAATATCTCCACTCTCATTCCATACATAGGCACAGCACTGATGAGATGCTGATCACATGGAGGCAGAGGACATGTCCTGTTAGTGCATAGAGTGAGTGAATGGAGGAGCCATATGGCCAGGACTTTGGGGTGCAGCAGTGGCTCAGTGGAAGAGCATCTGCTCGGTATGCAAAAGGTCCCTGGTTAAATCCCCAGCTTCTCCAAGTAAAATGATCAGGCAGGAGGTGATGTGAAAGACCTTAGACCTTGGATATCCACTATCCATATCTTGATATCTGAGTGGACAATACTGATCTTGTAGGACCATGGGTCAAATTCTGTATAAGGCAGCTACAAATATATCTTCATATGACTTCTATAGTTTTGGAAGGCAAAAGGTGGCCTGAACTGGTTACTGAGCCTCATCACACAAGAAAATATACAGGTAGAGAGAACAAAGAGTTTCCTATCCCTCCCTGAAATCCTATCCCTACCTGGTTAAAACTCATCTGCCACACAATCATATCCTCATGAATGATGAATTCCTGTGCTTTGGAACCTTTAGGATCTACCCTTCCAATCTTCATCTTGTAGAAAGATTTGTTTGGGAAGGTGACCAGGTTCATTAAATCAAATCCACCTCCCGTTTCCCTTTGATCATTAAAGGACAATCTTTCTCCAGCTGAATTGTTGAATGTAACACTTTGTAGAAAGAAATGGATCTAGTGGAATGGGGGGAAAGGGAGAAAAATGTCACCTTAATGTTGAGGTTTACCAAAATCATTCCCGGCTGATAGACTTTACTTTCAGATAGAAACAGACAGAGAGTACAGCCACTTTGCGGAAATTTACACATTATGCTTTTCAGGCTCCAACTACCACGATAAATGGGAATGCACAAAGATTCACCCATCTGTCCATTATTTCATTATTGATTCATGTTATAAAAATGGGACTTATCGTATGATAAACTAACATTTGTGGCAACAGAGACATTTCCCAGTGTAGACATTACCTGCCAAGGTTGGAGAGCTTGAAGTTCTGCTATTTGAACATTGATCATTCCCCCGTGATTGGATCTGGATGAGTACATGGAATGAATAGCATGCGCTATGGCATAGGCTGCATTGTAGATGCTGTAGCTTTGACCTGTCATGCTCATTTCAAAAAGAGGCCCAGGAAGGCTCTCCAGTCTCTCCTCCCCAGTACAGGTTTGACTGATGTCCATTGGTTCCTGGGCATTTGGATAGTAGCAGTCAAAAGCTTGCTCCCAGAATACCTTGAGAAAATCATTTCCTTGTCTCTGATAAGGTTTGATCTCTTGAAGAAAGTTCTGGAAGTGATGAGGCTCATTTGAGTGAATTGTGAAAGAAATGGTCCCATGGAAGAACTGGAAATCCCAGGCTCTGTGAAGGCCTGTTAGAGCAAAATCCATCTGGACTGTCGTAATCCACACTTTTCTTAGTGATGCATTTTCCCTGTTACTGGGATTGCCTATAAACAAAACGGTAAGAAATATTGTTAGGACCATTGTGTCTCCATAGAAGATAAAAGTATTGGCTTTGCTACCTGTCAAAGATAAACATATATTTAAAAATAAATAAATTATGGGATCCATGTCATCCCAATGGTCTTTGCTTGGGATTGTCTGTATGCGATCCAAACAGATTCCATGCTGGGAAAGCAAATTCTCCATGGCTTGCACAAAATGTTCTCCACTGTTGTCATTTGCAGCAAAGAGCCCGACCCATGTCCATTTGAAATGGTTAAGTAACCGGATAATCCCCGTGTACATATGGGTTTCGTTTGGGACCATGCGGTAAAAAGAAAGTGATTGTTTTGTCTCCTTGTTCTCTGGAGCAAATGATCCATATGTGAGCTAAAACAGAAAATGAAATATACACATTATTCTTAAACTGCTGAGTTGGAGTTCCTATGCAGAGCTGACATTCTTGAGATTGGGTGGCTTGCTATTTAAGGTAGTTGTCCCTCCCTTTATCTTACTTTGCCCATCTCATCAACACACCTACTAGGATTCCATCATTTATTGTTTTGCTTGGGCTTTGTTTTCATGTGATATAAGAGTTCCATTTCTGGAATGGTGGACCTTCCACCTTCCCTTTGTAATAGGAAAGATTTTAAAGATGTATTAAGAGGAAAGTTTGAGTCCAGTGGCACCTTGCAAACCAACAAAGTTTTATTCAAAGTATAAACTTTCGTGTGCAAGCACACTTCCTCAGAATGTATCTGAGGAAGAGTGCTTGCACAGGGAAGCTTATCCCTTGAATAAAATTGTGTTGGTCTTAAAGGTGCCACTGGACTCAAACTTGGTTCTGCTGCTTCAGACCAACATGGTGACCCACCTTAATCTATTAAGAGGAAAGAATATGAAAAGGGATATTGTAGGTTTGGCAAAAGTTGAAATCAAACAGAATTTGATTGTTTTTTTTAAAAAAAATTGGATTTTATTTAATTGGCTAAATTGTCTCAAATTGTGGTTGTATAGTCCTAATTCTAGAAAACGACTATAGGAGATAGATCTGCTAAATGTACTTCACTTTAACTTTTTATGTTTCCCTTCCTATCTCCTTTGTTTGTCGCAGTCATTCAGACTTCTGCCTCTTTCTTTACTGCATAACTCTCAAAAAGGAAAGACAATACAAAATCACATATTGTTTAGTGCACTGATCTTACCTGTGGAATCTTGTGAAGACTTAAAATGTCTGACATGCCAAAGGAGATGTCAGAGCTATATCCCCCAATGACGGCTGCTAGGTTTTTATGAGTGCCACATTCATAATTTGAAAAATATCTATGACCTTTATGGAGCAGATTCAGAATAGTGCGATAGGTCATCCTTATATCATGGTAGCTATCACAGATGTGGAAGCCGAGAGTGACATTAGGCAAGATCTTGGGATTTCCATTGATCTCATGGGTAGCAAATGCCAAGGCCAGGATCTGCTGGTAGAATTTTGTCACCATACTGTAAACAAAAGTTACATGTCCTTTAATATGGGATTTTTAAAAATAATACCAGAGCACTCTCATGCTGATTTTAATTACTTCAGCATATTTAAATTCTTGCATTGATGGTGCCTGCTGTTGCTTGTTCTTTTTCTTCAGCACTCATATCATAATTATTGTATCAGAACACCAGCTTTATCATTATGCTATATTATGGCCATTCCAACAATAAGGCCTCTATTTCCCCTTGGATTTTTAAAAACAATATGCAATAACAGATTCTAGTTATGTCAGTATTCAGGCCTCAACTTTCAAGGTCTTTAGAAGTGATGATATGGATCCTAATAGTTTTTCCTCTAGGCAAAATATCAAAAGAGACCATGCATGCTAGATATTCAAGCTGGATTCAGAAAAGGAAGAGGCACTAGAGATCATATTGCAAATTCACTTCCACTACTGAAGCATACAAGAGAATGTCAGAAGAAAATCATCCTGTCTTTCATAGATTACAGCAGAAATCAGAAGGGGATTGAGACTGGGGAGGGTAACTGTGAAGGAGCTAGAAAAGATTCTTACATGTAAGGTTGTGCTGCTAGCAATGAAGAAGAATGAGGAGGAGGAGGAGGAGAGTTGGATTTATACCAGCCCTTCACTTGGAGTCTCAGAGTGGCTTACAATCTCCTTACCTTCCTCTCCCCACACCCTGTGCGGAAGGTGTGGCTGAGAGAACTGCTTTTGAGAGTACAGCTCTGAGTTAACTTGTGACTGACCCAAGGTCACCCAGCTGGCTGCATGTGGAGGAGTGGGGAATGAAACCCGTTTCTACAGATTAGAGTCCACCGCTCTTAATCACTACACCACAGCTGGCTCTCAAGATCAAGTTAATTCATGCTATAGCATTCCCTGTTCCTATCTATGGGTGTGAAAGTTGGACAGTGAGGAAATGTGATAGGAAAAATGTAGATTCCTTTGAAATATGGTATTGGAGGAGAGATTTATGGATACCATGGAATGTCAGACAGATAAATAAATTGGTTCTAGACCAAATCAAGCCTGACCTCTCCGAAGACTGAAATGACTAAACTGAGGCTATCGTACTTCCATTATGAGGTCAAGAGTCACTGGAAAAAAATAATAAAGGTAGGAAAAGTTGAAGGCAGCCGGAAAAGAGGAAGAACCAACATAAGATGGATTGGCTCAATCAAGGAAGCCACAGCCTTCACTTTGCAAGACCTGAGACAGTATGTTTGGGAGGTCATAGGGTTTCCTTAAGTTGGAAGGGACTCAATGGCACTTGACACATAACACACACACACATGACCACACAAATGAGTATGCAGGGGAGTCACTGAACTCATGAGGACAAAGATTACATGGGAAAGGGACTGCAGTTAGAAAAGAAATTGGGCAAAAGCAAGTGGAAAACATGGCAGGTTCCAACACTACATGTCCTAATGGGTCAAGAATGTCTCTTGTCTCCAGTGAACAGTCATATAAATGCACACACAGTGACATTATTTATTTATTTTTATTTATTTATAATTTCAATTCATAGCCCGCCCTCCCCGCAACGCGGGCTCAGGGCGGCTCACAAATTATTGCAGCATGTGGTGCACACCCTGCTATTTCGTACATTGCAGTTGTGGAGATGTGTTCTGACAGGAGAGCCATGTTTTCCCTACTATATCATGAATCAAAAGAACAGTCACCCTCTTGGCTTGTAATTCATTAGCAGCCAGAATATTGCAAAGGGGGTGAAATCGGCACTCTAGCATGATGGGGCAGGGAGAACGGTGTTCAGGAAGTGATTGTGGCAGAGGTGTAACATGTACGACCCCATTTTTGCCTATATAAGCTTGTATGATGCAATACTGCTACAAATGCCCTACAAAATTGCATGAATTCCCTTGATCAGATCGGACATCCCGTGTGTACTGCAAACAGAAAACACTCATAAGATTCAGGATGCGATTGATAAGGAGGGTTCTGGGATGGATCAAGCCTACACCTTCTTTCTTTGAGCAACCTGTCATTGGCAGGGAGAAATGTTAGAATCTGACCATAGTCAAAAGAGGCAGGAAGAAAATCTCTTACTATGGCTCATCCAACAACTTCTCAGTAGGATGTTCATCAAAGTGCAGCTCCTGAAAATGGTAAAAGATCTGTGATGAAATCCCACCTATCAGAAGATCTCCCGGCTGGTACCACTCATGTGGAACAGGGAAGGGATCCTTTAAGGGAGAATGAGGAATAGCTCCTTGGCATGCTGTGGGAGACAGAAGGAGCATCAGTACTATGCCCAACAACATTCTGCAGCAATGATCATCTCTGTGCACAGTCTCCTGTGCACATTCGTAGCCCCAACTTGACTTAATCCACATGTCTTGGAGGGCAGCTGAGTCTGCTGTTGCGTTCACTAAAATAAAATTCACCAGCCTTTTTGAAGAGTTTCAGCAGAGTTCAAAATGCTTTCCATAAATTCCGACTGATATCACAAATACTCTATTTACAACTCTCAGTACCAGCGTGGTTATAGTCCTATTCTGACTCTGACATTGACTGACTTCCCAAATAAGCTGTCATGGAAACAAATCACAATGATTTTGATAATTACAGACTACATTAACTTAGAGGGAAGAGATTCTAGTTGTCAAGTGTGGCCTCTGAGGATGTCATCATTAGTAGCAAACACATTATTTTAAAGATCTGACAAGTGGCCTTCTCTGCTGCTTACTGGGACCACTGGCAGGAGATGAATACTAACATGAAATCGGTTGCATCGCTTTTGACACGTTTCAGTGTTTGGCTTATGTGCATTGATTCTAAGAATGTTTGCTTGTAAGTAAAATACGACAGAAGTCCAGTGGCACCTTAAAGACAGCAGCATTCATTTCAATATGAACTTCCGTAAGTCATCGCTCACTTTCTCACATGCATATAGAAAGCAAACTGAGAATCCTCCTTTTAGAGCAGATGTGGGGGGAGTTAAGGCAGAGAATGTATTATGCCCTGAATCTTTCAAGTGCAAATTCACTTTGTCGAGAAGAAAAAAGAAGGAAGAAAGGCTAGGTGCGAATTACGTCACAATATCGCGAAGTTAGAAGTAAGTCACACTGAGTCGGATCTGGCTTACTCTAGATCCTTTGTACCATTCTATTAAAACCTCATACTTAAAATAAAGTCCATTGGCAAAATCTATTTTTATCAAAGAGATGAGAGATTAGCAGTGCAACCCTGACAGAGTTTACTGGATGTAAGCCTCATTGAATTGACTGAGTAGGCCTAATTAGGATTACTCTCAAAATCCCTTGCCCCTTCTGAGTAGGCCTCATTAGGATTACTCTCAAAATCCCTTGCCCTGATAAATTAAAGGGGCTTCAAAATCCTTTTTCATCCAGATTCCTTCTATAGATTCTGGAGTTCTGAACTATGTAGTCCTATTTCCCAAAAAATAAAAATAAAATGGGCCAATCCTGTTCAAACTCCCCATTTTTTACTTCCAAACGATTGCACAGGATGATGTTCAACTGTAGCTTCTTACATCTTCTCCTTTCTTTCTTTTCTGATATCCTTAGGCAATAGTGGTTTTGAGGTTCTTTTCTTTTCAAGTCATTGGAGTACATGTGATTCTCAGCAAAACACCACAGGGGAAAAAAGTACACACAGTAACATTAAGGCCATTCCACACACACACCAATGTCTTACCAATGCATTCAAGCATATCAGCAATGTGTGTGGTGTGGAAGATGCTAATAAATGGAAAGAACAGAAACTGACTCTGCATAATCCATTTCAAGAATTCATTTTAGATATTTTCTTTGTGAAGCCAGTTAATGCTATTAATAAACCTTCAGAATCTGTTAGCTCATAACATCTCCTAGTACATTCAAGAATCCCGTCTCTTCACTGCCTGAGCAGAATCCTCCCACTTTTTCATTATTAAAGATTTGACAAAAGATGTTCATCTATATCACTGGTTCCCAAAGTGAGTAATACTGCCCCCTGGGGGGCACTGGAATGATCCAGGTGGGCGGTAGGAGCCTTAGGTGCAATTGGGGGGGTGTTGAATAAAAAAATAAGGGGGCGATGGAATCATAAAGAAAGAAGAAGAAGAAAAGAGATTGGATTTATACGCCGCCCTTCACTTGGAGTCTCAGAGCGGCTTACAAACTCCTTTCCCTTCCCCTCCCCACAACAGACACCCTGTGAGGTGGGTGAGGCTGAGATAACTCTGACACAAATGGCTCTTTTTCAAGGACAGCTGTGCCAGAGCTTGCAACTGACCCAAGATCACATCAGCAGGTGCAAGTGGAGGAGTGAGGACTCAAACTTGGTTCTCCCAGATTAGAGTCCGCGCACTTAACCACTACACCAAACTGGCTCACTGGAGTCCAGGACCTATTTAAAGCAGCCTTTTCCTGCCTTCTCTTGGTCTTCCCTGGGATCAGGGAGGGAGGTGGAGGTGAAGAGGGGTCCCCACAGTCAATCATGGCCTTCGATATCTTAATTTTCCGTGTGTATACAAATGTCACTTTGTTTTTACTATGGTTGATTTTGTAAAATACTTTTATGATTTTGACCTTCAAAGTGTCTTATTCACAACATCTTTCTTTACTATGTGCAAATTTGCCTCTGCATCTTTTTGTCCACTTCTTTTGTCCACTTCAAGGAGCCAATTTGGTGTAGTGGTTAAATGTGCGGACTCTAATCTGGGAGAACCGGGGTTGATTCCCCACTCCTCCACTTTCCCCTTGCTGGATGACCTTGGGCAAGCCATACTTCTGGCACAGCTGTTCTTGAAAAACAGCAGTTTCTGTCAGAGCTCTCTCAGCCCCACCTGCCTCACAGGGTGTCTGTTGTGGGGGAGGGGAAGGAGCTTGTAAACCGCTCTGAGACTCCTTTGGGTAGTGAAGGGTGAGGTATAAATCCAATCTCCTCCTCCTCCTCCTCCTCCTCCTCTTCTTCTCCTTGAAGGTAGATTTCCAGGGGGGCCCCAAGTAATTTTTAGGCCAAATAAGTTTAGGAACGTCTGATCTATATGAACTTATCAAAAGACAAAGCTGGGCATGCTCTCAGACCCAGGCTTACTGTTGGATAAGTAGGTGGCAGCTTTTACCACCAAGGAGGAGGAGGTGAAGGAGGAGAGTTGGATTTGTATCCACACAAGGATATGTGGAGTGAATGGGTTGGTTTGTATGGGAGAAAGCAGTTTTTGAGGTATGCTGGTTCCAGGACATGCAGGGATTTAAAGGTGAATACTAGCACCTTGAACTGACCGGGGAAGCAAATAGGAAACCAGTGTAGATGGGACAGGACTACAGCAATATGGCTCCTATGACCAGTCATCATTCTGGCTGCAACATTCTGTACCAACTACAGCTTCTGCATAGTCTTCATGGTCAGCTCCACATAGAGCATCTTGCAGTAATCTAATGTAAATGGTATCAAGACAAGCACCACAGTGCCAAAAGCTGGTGAAAGTCAACTTTGGCCACCACTGCCACCTAACTATCCAAGAAAAAGCTCAGAGAGCAGAGACATAGATGGACTTAACTGTACCTCTGTTTGCAAAAGATCTTGTGCAATACTTAGCACTTTCATTCCCAAGATATTATAGGGTCCAGAAATTTGTTGCACAAGATCCTACACGTGGAAACACAAGAAGGGCTACCAGAAATAGCAAGTCGCTACTGCAGCTTTTCTTGTGTTTCTCTTTGAGCAAGAACTTTATCTCGATTGGAAATTTTGCAGTAGACCCAACCCATTACCTGACAAGGCTGGAGATTATGGATTTGTCATATTGTGCCACTTTTCAGTATTATATAATTGACTCTAGATGACTATATGGCCAGCAAAGGATGTCCTATAAACAGCATTATAGATGTTATAACTGTGGCCAGTCATGCACATTTCACAAACAGTACCAGAAAGGTTATTCAGCTTCTCCTTATGAGTACTAGTTTCATTAACTCTCATTGGCTCCTGGGGATTTGGATGGAAACAGTCAGATGCTTGTTCCCAGAATTCCTTGAAAAACAGTTTATTTGGTTCTTGTAAGGTTTTATGTCTTGAAAGTTCTGGAAGCCAGTAAGTTCACTGGGGTCAATTTTGAAGGAAATGGTTTTGTGAAAGAATTGGAAATTCCAGGCTTCCTGAAGGCCTGTTTGGTTTCCCTTTAGGACCTAGTGAGTAGATCATATGATGGCGCATCACTATTCTGCTAGGGGAAATGGAAAGAGGGGTCCCATCCAACCACCCCCAAATGCTATGGATCCTGTGCAGACAAAATCTAAATGGGATGGGGGTGTAGTGGGGAGAGCAATTGAGCACACCTGAATGTAATTCCTAGCTGGATCTAACCCACCAAATTCATTTGAATATGTCTGAGTAAACATGTTTAGGATTGTACTTCCCATAACTTGGGCACTGAATGGAGTCTCTATGAAGCAGATGGCTTTAGCGTAGAGTTTGTTGGAAATATATGAGTTGCAAGGTCTCAGATTCCAGTCATTACAGGGTTAACTTTGTTTACCTTCTATACCATTGTTTAGACTGACCTGGAAGGAAACCTGGCAGACAGCCAATGCAAGCAAAGCCCACAAAAGTAAATGGTATTGATTGGTTAATGTACTCAGGTGATTTCTTCTAGGGATCAAGAAGAATGAGGATTCTCCATTATTGCCATTGTTGTGTGACCATGCTTTGTAGCTGTAAGATGTGACAACGTAGCTCTAGGTATGTTTGTTATTTTGTAGGTTTCCAGTGTACCTTTTACCCTTAGAAATAAAGATTTTTAAACAGAAAGAAATGTTCCCTCTCCAGTGAAGCAAAGATCCATTGCAAACTTTGATTATGTAAGTATTTTTGACTATTTTCCCCAACAGAGTTCAGCTGCTGCTTGTTGTCTGACAAGATGACCGAGGACACAAGGAGTTCCACTTAAAAAAAATGTTGCTACCAAGGATGCCACTCAAAGGCTAAACTTGGCAGCTGTCTTTTTTTTATATAAATTTTCTTTTAAACACTTTTATTAATCGGATATATCAACACGTTCAAAAATACATTTCTTCTTTTCAACATATACCCTTTTCTACTTTCTTCTACCCCCCCTTCTCGGCCTCCCGCAGTGCTCCCACCCCCTTGTACATATCAATTCTTAGTTCACCATCTTCTACAACCCCTCTTACTAAATTCTTAACAGGTAACATTATAACATTATACCATTATTTCATTCTATTACATACTGTTCTTAATAATTGTCAAAGCAAAGTAAGTTATTTTTTACATCCCAGTTGTTTTCAATATATTCTTTAAAGTCAATCCATTCTTCCATAAATTCTTGATCCTCTTTATTATTAAGTTTCCTTGTCAGTTTATCCATTTCAGCCATAAAAAGCATTTTCTTTATCCATTCCCAAATCTCTGGTACCCTATCTTGTTTCCAGGCTTGTGCATATGTCTTTCTTGCAGTAGTAATCAAATACCACAACAATGTTCTTTTAGTCACATTTACCTCCTCCATCTTGAGCCCTAAAAGTAATATTTCGGGTTCTTTCTTAAAAGTCGATTTCAGAATCATTTGCATTTCACTATGAACTTCTGTCCAAAAATCTGCAGCTTTATCACAAGTCCACCACATATGGTAAAAAGAGCCCTCATGCTTTTTACATTTCCAACACTTATTCGACATATTCTCATTCATATTAGCTATTTTTTTGGCGTCATATACCATCTATACATCATTTTATAACAATTTTCCTTCAAATTATTACAAGTAGAGATTTTCATTGATTTTTTCCATAAACATTCCCAAGATGACATAGATATTTCTTTATTCATATTTACAGCCCATTTTATCATTTGCTCTTTTACCGTTTCATCCTCTATACCATTTTAACAACACTCTGTATATCTTTGAAATCATTTTTCCCCTTTTTCCGCCCACACACATTCTATTTCATTATTTTTCTCTCTAAAGCCATAACATTTTTGCCAGTTGTAAACAAATCATATATTTGTCTGTAATTTAACCAATCATATTCGAAGTCTAACTCTTCTCTAGCTTTTATCACACACTTTCCCCCTTCTATATTCAGAATGTCTCTGTAAGGTAACCAATCTTCGCCTTTATGTTTTGAAAAATGTTTAATTACTTCAGCTGGAACAATCCATAAAGGTCTGTCCTCAAAACAGAACCTTTTATATCTCATCCAAGTCTCGCACAGTGTTCTTCATATATAATGATGTGATGTTTGAAAAGATTGTCCAACTTTATTTGTCATACCATAAATAAACATGCCAACCAAATTTGCAATCATGACCCTCTAACGCCAACAATTTTATTTTCTAAATTAACCCACTGCTCCAACCATGTCAAACATACCGCCTCATGGTATAGTCTAAGGTTAGGTAACTGAAAACCTCCTCGTTCCTTTGCATCACACAAAATCTTCATTTTAATCCTTGGTTTTCTTCCTGCCCACAAATTTCGACAACTCCTTCTGCCATAAATTCAACACTTTAATGACCTTTACTATTGGAATAGTTTGGAACAAAAACATCAGACCAGGTAAAACATTCATTTTTACCACCGATATTCTTCCCATCAATGATAAGTTCATAGTATCCCATTTTTTAAAGTCTTGTACTATCTTATTCCAGAGCTTTTCATAGTTATTCTTAAAAAGGTCAATATTTTTCGTTGTCAAATCAATACCTAGATACTTAGTCTTTTTAACAACTTCACACTGTATTTCCTCTTCAAATCCTGTTGTCTCTTTTTCGTCATATTTTTACATACACTTTGGTCTTATTTTTATTCATATAGAATCCAGCCAAGTCTCCAAATTCTTTTATCTTATCCATAAGCAACGGTAAATTATCGATTGGATCTTCAACCAAAAACATCACATCGTCCGCAAAAGCTCTGTATTTATATGAAAAACCTTTTAATGTAAGTCCTTTTATATCCTTATCATCTCTTATTTTTTTCAACAACACCTCTAAAATCCAGATACACAGTAATGGAGATAACGGGCAACCTTGCCTTGTCCCTTTTTGGACCTTAAATTGTTCTGTCATATCTTTATTTACATTCAATGCCACTCTTTGCTCTGTATATATCACCTTTATTAAATTTGTAAAGGATTGTCCAACCTCCATCTTTTCCATTACTTGAAACATAAAGTCCCAATTTAAATTATCAAAGGCCTTTTCAGCATCAACAAACAAAAAACCAACTTCTTTCTCTGGATGCTTATCATAGTACTCAAATGCGTCAATCACCATTCTTAAATTGTCTCTAATTTGTCTGTTTGGTAGAAAACCGGCTTGCTCTTCCGTTATTATTTCATTTAAATATTTCTTCATTCTTTCTGAAAGGCAGCTGTCTTCTTTGCCTTCTGAAACACTGTAATTATCTGAATCACTATCATTTGTTCCTGTGACTAAAATCCATTTGATTTTTGGAATGTGCATTAAAACTGTATTTGAATGATGTTTGAAACCGGTTATAATTACCACCATCCCTTTCATTTAGAGCTGGGAGAAGGGACTCAGAATAGGCAGTTGCTACTCTTTATTAAGCTAAATGGGCAGGTCACAATATCTGCCCTTTCAATGGACATGCTTTTGGGAGGTCTACTGGTAGACTCAGACAAAATTCAACACAGAAGAGTGATGAAGTCAGAGAGAGGATATCAGCTGGCACAGGAGGCTAGGATGTTGTTTGTGTCAGTGATGCTGCTGCTTCTTCTGCCTTCCGTAGTATGTAAAACACATACTGTGAAGGACACCTTGAAAGGTTCCTTTCATACTCCATATGAATGGTACCAGCCAGGAGATCTTGTAATTGGTGGAGTTTCTTCTCAGATCTGTTACCCTTTTCAGGAAATACTTTGATGGACCGCCTGCTGAAAATTTGCCTGGTGGCCTATAGTAAAGAATTTTCTTCCTGCTCCTTCTGACACTGGCCAGGTTACAAATTCTAACATTTGTTTCTCCTGTTGGTGGGATACTCCATCAAGAATATGTAGGCTTGGTACAGTCCAGCACTCCTTCTTTTCAATCACATTCTGTCTTCTCTCAGAGTGGGATCTTTTCAAATTTTAGTGGACTAAATGGTACAGTGAAACACCATACAATCTAGTATGGGCTAGCAGTGCCGTCCTAACCAGAGTTACACTATTCTAACTCCTCTCATTTCAATGGAATTAGAATTAAGTCTGCATAGGATCATACTCGGAAATAGGGGCATTCATGTCTTCTCCTCCTTCTCCTCTTATAATTTATGCCTGAATCTCTTTCCAAAACTCCATCATTTTATACTATATTTTTATTTACTCTGCAATAACCTGTAATGTTGAATTCAACACCAAAAGGCTGATTGTTCTTTTGATTAATGCAGTCATGGGGGTCATAGTTATCCTAGGATATGTCATCAAGAGTATGAAGTATATGTCAGCAGGTGCAGTGCATGAACTACCCAGGCTGTGTAATGCATAATGTTTTAGTGTGCATATATGTGCATTTATATGTATTTTCACTGGAGACAAGTTGTATTTATTCTGCATTTAGCTTCTGGAGATCTTGCTGAGCCTTGAGAAATGATAGCTTAAAATCAAATTAAAGTAGGAGGGAATAAGGATAGCCGTTTACTTTAGGAAGTGCTGTAAATCATGTGTATCCTGCAATAAGAATGGTAGGATGCAGCAAATGTGTCAAAATAATTGCAGAGAAGTTCAGGTGCACAATCAATTTAATTTGCGCTGAACAAGGAGTATGTTAGATGCTCTGAACACATTAGTGACAAAGGTAAGTTTACCCTTAGGGTGAGTTAATTAAATCAGACCCAGAATGGACCACTATTGTGGCAAGGTCTACTCAGGGGTAATAATTTGATGCAGTAGGGCATACTCCCTGGAAACTGTTTGTAGGATTGCAGCCGGTGCCTCTTTTTACAGTATGATAACAAAGTTCTACCAGCATGTCCTAGCTTTGGAGTTTGCCATCAATGAGATCAACAAGAATCCCAAGATCGTGCCCAACGTCACCCTTGGCTTCCACATCTATGACAGCTACTATGATATGAGGACAACCTATCGTGCCATGCTGGATCTGCTGTGCAAATTGCATAGATCTGTTCCCAACTATGAATGCAATGCCCACAAAAACTTGATGGCAGTCATTGGGGGATTCAATTCTGAAGTCTCTTTACACATGGCAGACATCCTAAGTCTCTACAAGATTCCGCAGGTAAATTCTGTGCAGAGAAGAAGGAGTAATCCAACCAATTGCCCTGTTTCTTTTTTGGGGATTTATTGTGCAGGTAAGAAAAGGAAGACGTTTGAATGATGCAGAGAACAAAGGTCAAAGAATCCCCACACATAGGCAAGGGGTAATAGTAAGTACAAGGAATGATAAGTTGCTCTTAGCAGAATCATTTCACAGATCCAGTTTGGTGTAGTGGTTAAGTGCGCAGACTCTGATCTGGGAGAACCGGGTTTGATTCCTCACTCCTCCACTTGCACCTGCTGAAGTGACCTTGGGTCAGTCACAAGCTCTGGCACAGCTGTCCTTGAAAGAGAGCAGTTTATGTCAGAGCTCTCTCAGCCCCACCTACCTCACAGTGTGCCTGTTGTGGGGAGGGGAAGGGAAAGGAGTTTGTAAGCCACTCTGAGACTCCGTTGGGTACTAAAAGGCGGGGTATAAATCCAATCTTTTCTTCTTCTAGAAATTGCGCATTAGCCCCACAATCTGAGATATTTTAACCAGGGCTGATTTCGCACTAGAGCTGCCTTGATGTTGCACCGCTGTTTGCCCTGATACTATTGGTCCATTTCACACCAGAAGCTGCGGGGCTGCATTTTGACTCGCGGCTTCGCCCGATTTCCCCCGCAGTTTCATGATACTGTTTTTTGAGGATCACGAAACTGCAGAGGAAATCGGGCGAAGCCGCGGGTCAAATGCAGCCCTGCGGCTTCGAGTGTGAAATTGACCAATAGTATTGGGGCAAACGGCGGCGCAACATCGAGTCAGCTCTAGTGCAAAATCAGCCCAGAACAAGCATCTGGCTTTCTCTTGCCAGATCTACAATTTCCTTCACTAAATACCCTTTTGACCATTAGTCACTTGCACTCAAACGGTCCTCCTAAAGTCTCTTTAAAAGATCTGTACATTTTCTTTCAGCTGACATACGGATCATTTGCCCCAGAGGTAAGAGATGAAAAAAAAATCCCTTCCTTTTACAGCATGGTTCCAAATGAAGCCCATCAGAATATCGGGATCATACGCTTGCTTCTCCATTTCCAGTGGACGTGGGTTGGCCTTTTTGCTGTGGATGATGACAGCGGAGAACATTTCTTGAAGGTGCTGGAGCCCCTGCTTTCCCAAAATGGAATCTGTTTGGCTTTCATGCAAAACATTCCAAACAAACACAATTGGGAAGACTTGTATTACGCTTCTGATAGATTTTTAGAAATTTATTTACCTCTTGCAGAGAGCAAAGCCAATGCCTGTATCGTCTATGGAGATTCAATGGTCCTTATAACACTTTATATTATTATATTTTTTTGTAATCCCAATTATAAAGAAAATGCATCACTGAGAAAAGTTTGGATTATGACAGCCCAAGTTGATTTTGCACTAACTGGCCTTCAGAGGGCCTGGGATTTCCAGTTCTTCCATGGGACCATTTCCTTCACAATTCATTCAGATGAGCCTCTTGGCTTCCAGAACTTTCTTCAAGACATAAAGCCTTATCAGCAGCAAGGAAACAGTTTTCTAAAGGAATTCTGGGAGCAAGCATTTGACTGTTTCTATCCAAATCCCCAGGAGACAAGGGACACCAGTGAAACCTGTACTGGGGAGGAGAGGCTGAAGAGCCTTTCTTGGCCTGTTTTTGAAATGAGCATGACTGGTCACAGCTACAGCATTTACAATGCAGTCTATGCCATAGTGCAGGCTATTCATGTCCTATACTCATCCAGATCCAGTCACAGGGCAATGATCAATGGTAAAATAAAGGAACGTCAAGATCTCTGGCCTTGGCAGGTAATGCTGACACAAGGAACTGTTAGTATGTTAGTATGAGACGATATTCAACTTTTTCCAACTCGTCCAATGAAAAATGCATTATTTGGTGACAACATTTTGTGCATTCTTTCTTTTTGTGATAATCAGAGCATTTGGGGGGCGGATAACACTGCATACTGTTGATCTTCAAATGAAAAGTAACTATTGACTGGCTTGGACTGTCTGAAATGACATGAAAGTGTAACAGCAGTATATCTAAAAATGAAGACTCTTTATATCAAGTTTGGTGTAGTGGTTAAGTGTGCGTACTTTAATCTGGGAGAACCGGGTTTGATTCCCCACTCCTCCACTTGCACCTGCTGATGTGACCTTGGGTCAGTCACAAGCTCTGGCACAGCTGTCTCTTGAAAAAAAGCAGTTTCTGTCAAGAGCTCTCTCAGCCCCACGCACCTCACAGGGTGTCTGTTGTGGGGAGGGGAAGGGAAAGGAGGTTGTAAGCTGCTCTGAGACTCCAAGTGAAGGGCGGGGTATAAATCCAATCTCTTCTTCTTCTTCTCTTCTGTATATGAATGATTGTTCTACTCATTTTAATGGCCTTGTCACCCACCTTGTTAAGCCAATTATAATATTTAGTTTTGTTCTATATTGATGATCGTGCCCTATTACCTCAGACGAGACTGGGTCTAAAGGGGTCTTAACCAGTGTTCCCTCTAAGCTGAGTGAGTGTGAGCTAGCCCACAGGTTTTTAGCCTCCGGCTCACACATTTATGTCTCAGCTCGGGAAGGAGGGCTCCAGAGCTAACTGATTTATGCAGCAGACAAATCGCTCGCTCACAACTTTAATGCCAGTAGCTCACAAAGTAGAATTTTTGCTCACAGGACTCCACAGCTTAGAGGGAGCATTGGTCTTTACTTTTTTTTTTTTGAATATTGTATTATGGAAGGCCTGAGAATAAACTATCAGATACAAAGTAGTTGTCTTCTCTAAAAGAAGAAATCCTACAGTGTGCAAATGGATATTGAATGGTGAAGAAATCCAACAAGCAAAGGAGTTTTCATCTTTGGATATCCTTTGTTTATCCAATTTAAAATGGGGACCACACCAGTTGCTGATCAGATACAAAGCAAAAAAAAATGTCTTGCAGCATATTATCATTATTTCAAAATGGAGGTGGGAATTCTGTTCCTGGTGCTGTCCAAGTTCTAAATCTAAAAGATGATTGTCCTGTCATTCTTTATGGAGTAGTAATAATGATAGTTTCAGTTAATGAAAACATTGACCATCTATTCTTATTCTTTTTGTAAAAACTGTAAATAATCTGTGCTGCGTAGCTGGCATGGCTTTCATTCTGAATTAGGTCAAGCTTCCCTTGAGGCAAGGGCTTGCTTGCAAGCATTCAGACTATTTATCAGGGAATACTCAAGTAGCAAGGGCTATTTGGCATACTTAAAAGAGCCAGTTTGCTGTAGTGGTTAAGTGTGCGGACTCTAATCTGGGAGAACCGGGTTTGATTCCCCACTCCTCCACTTTCACCTGGCTGGATAACCTTGGGCAAGCTGTAGTTCTGATAAGAGCTGTCCTTGAAAAATAGCAGTTTCTGTCAAGAGCTCTGTCATCCCCACCTACCTCATACCTACTGTTGTGGGGACGGGAAGGGAAAGGAGTTTGTAAGCCACTCTGAGACACCTTTGGGTAGTGAAGGGCGGGGTATAAATCCAATCTCTTCTTCTTCTTCTATTTTTATAACTCTTCCTGTTTTAAGACTGTTCACAAGAAACTTTTGGGACCATTTCATAATGGATAAGATCTCTACAGGTTTGAATGTTCAAAACTCATATTTAGCTTATAACTCATTTCTCAGTGTGGAATTCTGTACTGGAAAAAATAGACAATAATCCCATTAGTAAATCTTCTTTTGAAAAACATAGTTGCTATAGATTGATGTTATTGCCATAGATACTGATTATGAAATATTTTTATTTGTGGTTGTTCATTTGCTTTATACAGGCTGCGGGCACACGGGCAGGAAAATGTGGGGGGGAAGCATGGCTGTTTGCCCCGGGGCTAAATAACATGCGGTTGCGCGAGCAGACCTACCATGGAGGTCCCAAGGAGGTCCCGTGGTAGGGGGAGGTGCTGATCACTCCACAGTCCTGCGGTGCGGCAAAGAAGCGGGGTGCAGGGCAAACGGGGTTGTTGTTTTTTTAAACTCAAATGTGCGCATGCTCCCTTGGGTGGTTGTGTGCATCCGTGGAGACTTTGAAAAAAACCCCACCTTTTTGTGAGGGGACATGGGCGGGTGCCGGAACTACCACCGGAAACCTGATCAGACGCCTGCCCTTGCCCCAAGGTTTCAGGAAACTAGTATCTCCGAGGTACTAGTTTTTTACCCCGCGTCTTCGGCGGGAAGCCTTGGGTGCTTGATGCTTCCCAGGATGTGGTGGTGAGATCGCGCCCGGAAAATCCACCTATCTTCTGTCCCTCTAGCGTGCCTAATGCTCCGTGTGACCACAGCCACAGTTATGCATTGATTTTTTTACATGTCAAAAATTACCATAGTTCACTTGTTATTTGTTTGTATGTTATATGAAACATAAATTAAAAAATGTTTTGTAAAAAAAAAAGAAACTTTTGGCTGTCAATGTTACTCTAAACACTCTTCAGCAATTAGGTTTTTGTGCAACATGTTTTGCTGAGAAGTTGGTAAAATTAATTGATTTCCAAAGCTCTGCTTTTAGAGCATGATACACTTGTTCATCTTAGTTTTTTGGCATTCTTCCTCTGAAATCTTTTCCCTCATACTTATCTGTTGACCTTTCCAAGTCTTATAAGAGCTTTTGCATTCCCCAAGTTAAATGCTTATTCTTTGAGAATTATGAGGGGTAGGTTTTTGTGCTTACCTTACTCAGAATGAATTCACTCCTGCTCTTTAGGCAAGATTGATACTACTTCACATATTCTCCTGGCCAGTCCATTGTATATTAACAGAAGATACTACAGCCTGCTCTGATTCATATCCCTATGAGATGGTTACATCTCAACTTGCTGATAAGGACACCCCCCCCCAAAAAAAAACCTTAGCAGTTGAAAAACATATTACTCCTTTCATGTGTTTAGTAATAAATGATTTATAATAACTATTCACTGCTCAAGATTATGCATCATACAGCTGTTATTGGATGAGATGAAAGACTCTAGCACATTGCTTCTTCTCCCCCTTTCAACTAGGTCCACCCCTTCCTGCAAGGCATTGTATTCAACAACTCATTTGGAGAAAGATTGTCTTTTAATGATAAAAGGGAACTGGGAGGTGGATTTGATATAACGAATCTTGTCACATTTCCAAACAAGTCCTTCCATAGGGTAAAAATTGGAAGGGTAAATTCCAAAGCTCCTAAAGGACAAGAATTCATAATTCACGACAATATGATTGTGTGGCAAACCATTTTTAACAAGGTATTTATTCAAATTTTCTCAGGGGCTACTCTCACTGTTTGGGTGGCTAACTCAGAATTTTGTTTTCACTTTCTCGCCTATTTTGGTCTTTTTGTTTGTTAGATGGGAGTGAATGGTCATGACAGACCACAGTCTGCATCCAAAATCTTATGAGGTATAGCTTTGTACATTGCCAAACATCTCTACTCTTTACAACATTTGAAGCCAACATTATATTTTTCAGATATGTGAGATACTGAGAAATATTTTTTCATGATGCTGTCATTAAAATTTGGTACTTTTATATGGCAGTCATGGGAAAACTCTCTCCCTGATCAAGGGAACTTAGACTCTTGAAAACACATACCCCCCCCCCAAATTTGTGTTGGTCTCTAAAGTGCTACTGGACTCAAATCTAGATCTTCTCTGGGAGGAGATACTGGGCTGAATAGTCAGCTTGCTTTCTCTACACCCCAAATATTCCTGATCCATAAAGACAGGTACTGCAATTGGAGAAGTATAAACTGACCATAGCAAACACAATCTTGATCACTTGTTTCTTCACACCACAGCTGATGCATAATAATGTCTCATGTCTGCCATCCTAAATTCCTTTCATTTATTTCAATAGGTGGCCCCCCTTTCTGTGTGTAATGATTTCTGCAACCCTGGCTCTCAAAAGAAAAAGAAGGAAGGGGAGACGTTTTGCTGCTATGATTGTGTTCCTTGCCCAGAAATGCAGACTTCAAGCCAAAAGGGTAGTTGGATGTGATATATCAGCAGTCTGGGTTAATTCAAATGATTCAGGTGTCATAAGAACATAAGAGATGCCAATGTTGGATCAGGCCAAAGGCCCATCCAGTCCAACACTCTGTATCCCACAGTGGCCAGAAATACCAGTGCCATCAGTGTCAAGTTGATGGGCCTGAAAGGAGCATCATCAGGGTTGCTTTCACTCATCTCTCATTTAGAGAAGGGCATCCATTATGAAGGCTGAAGTAGTTTCAGATCCAAAATCTTTTAATAAATTGTAATGTATCTCCAATAAGGAAGCTTGGAGGTATAAAGTCAACATACCCTTGTGCAATTTGACCAGAAAGGTATATGTTCCAATTTCCAATCACTGATCATATCATTTGGGTGCAAGAAGGACACTGCAGTATTCCATTTTTTTTCAAGATGATTGCTTCTTTTAGGGGTACTTTAACTACTTTGTGGGTACTTTCATTACCCAGTTGGGTAATCCCGTATGACTGCAGGTATAATTCCAAACTTTAACTGTCAACTGGATGTAAATGACTGTACCTGCAAAATGTGTACCCTCTGAATTGTCAGAATCAGCATCATCCAGGACTTCCTCAAAACCTAGGGGAAACTGATGACCACAAAGTTTTTACTGTGCATTAGTATCAGTGTCACAGAGTAGTCATAAAACTGACATTCACCCAGACTTTCACCTGAGTTGTCATGTCTTTTTTCTATTTCCATTCATACGGAATGCTGAATCTATCATTTCTTCATTTTCTGAGCAAACAAAAGGGCTGAATGGGATCTGTGAGAAGGGAGGGGGTATTGAAAAATGATCAGTCCTGGGTTACTTCTGAGTAAAGAGAACGAGAAGGAGTGAAAGAGAGGCAGTGAAGTGTTTCACTCACCATCATACTGGGGGAGCATTCACACTTTTAAATGCTCACCTTGGGTGCAACTCAGAGACAAAAACCATTTTACATCAGCATAAAGATCAAATAGCTAAGATCAATATAGACAAATAGGAAGAACAATGGCCATAACAATAGTAATAATCATCATAATAACCACTGCAAGGAAAGTTAGCTATTTGGAGGGATACTGTAACAAGCTTTGGCAGTAGAAATTGAAATGTATAATGTTTTCAACATTGCTTCCATGTAAAATACAGTCATGAAACTAATATTTCATATCAACTACCACTTTAATCGTCCCTCCTCATCTTTCTCCCCCCCCCAGACATGGATGATTGCATCAAATGCCAGAGTGATCAATATCCAACCAAGAACCAAGATGGATGCCTTTCCAAAACAATAAGTTTCCTGTCTTTTGAAGAACCTTTAGGAATTAGTTTGGCTTCCATAGCTGTATCTTTAGCTTTTATCACAATCAACGTGTTAGGCATTTTCATTAAATACAAAGACACCCCCATTGTCAAAGCCAACAATCGGAGTCTCACCTACATACTTCTTATTGCTCTCCTGCTCTGCTTTCTCTCTTCTTTGCTATTCCTTGGAAAACCAGAAAAGGTGACCTGCTTCCTCCGACAATCTGTTTTCAGCATGATCTTCTCAGTGGCTATACCTTGTGTGTTGGCCAAAACCATCACTGTGGTTGTAGCTTTCATGGCCACCAACCCTGGGTCCAGCATGAGGAAGTGGGTGGGGAAACGGCTGAATATTTCAGTGGTTCTTTCCTGTTTCATCATCCAAGCATGTATTTCTGTGGTGTGGCTAACAACCACGCCACCATTCCCAGATTTTGATACACTGTCACTGGCTGAACACATCATAGTGCAATGTAATGAAGGGTCTGTTCTCATGTTCTGCATTGTTCTGGGATATATGGGGCTTCTATCCATCATGAGTTTGACTGTGGCTTTTCTAGCCAGGAAGTTGCCTGACAGTTTTAATGAAGCGAAGTTCATTACCTTCAGCATGCTGATCTTTTGCAGTGTTTGGCTTTCTTTTGTTCCAACATATATGACCACCAAAGGGAAATACATGGTAGCTGTGGAGATCTTCTCTATCTTGGTGTCTAGTGCTGGCTTACTGAGCTGTATCTTTTCCCCCAAATGCTACATCATTATGTTGAGACCTGAGCTAAACAGGAAAGAGATAGTAATAAGGAGACAACATTAAGAATGGTTGTGATTCCAAGTATCTTACTTTAAAATGAGAGAGGAAGAGAGAGTGAGAGGGAGAGAGGGAGAGGGAGAGGGAGAGGGAGGGAGGGGGAGAGAGAGAGAGAGGGAGAGGGGGGAGAGAGAGAGACTGGACATATGCCAACAATTATTTGGGTTATTTCAGCATTGTGTTCATATTCTAAGGAAATACAAAAATGTGACTGATCCAAAGAATCTTTTTTAAAATATAAAATAAAAATCATTTTGTGATCAGTAATTATTTTTCAGTGTTGTGTTTTCTTGCTTATATTCATCAACAGCAGTTAGAATGTAGGTAATGATCCTAGATTGTGGCCTGAATTTCCCTTATCAGCTGTTCAAATAAATGAATTTTCTTTGCATTTCTTGCACATTGCTAGTTAAGAATTAAAAAAAACCCTGCAGGGTTAATGTGTCTCAGGTACTGAAGAGACTATTTATTCTTGGGACTTACCAGCAATGAATGGAATGGGTTGCTTGGGTCATTTCACAACTGCACATGGGCCATTTCACAATTCCATGCCCAGAATCTGGGATACAAGTAAAACTCTAAAGGAGATTCTGCATTAAGAGGAATAGTTGAGGCCTGGTGAAAGCCATCTGGGATTCATTCCCCCCTGTCAAACATCTCAGAATTCGACAAGGAAAGTCCTGGACTAGTGTTGCTTCAGCTATCCCAAATGACATCTATTTAAAGATCAGTAGTTGTTTGTATGACTTTCTGTCTTGCTTTCTAGTGCTCCTTTCTAAGAAAACAAAAAAGGATGATATTGAAAAAGTGCAATCGGAAGTGGAGAAACAGAGATCCGAACATGTTCATGGGCTTGATTCCCAACGGAACTATTATGAGACCTTATTAGAAAAGAAAAAGAATGATTTTGAGGAAAACATAGGAGAACTATAAAAATCCAATGATGAGGAATTATACCGGATGAGAGCAGAAAGAGTAAATTTAGTTATAGAAAAACAAAGCTTGGCAGATGCCATGCAAGAGACTAAACACTCAAGCGCGGAAGCCTTGGAAAGAGCAACACAGGCAGAGACAGCTTTAGCTAAAATCACCGTGGAACTAGCAGCCACACAATCAGCAGCTCGCTACCTCGCTGAACAGAGCCATGCAAAAAGAGAACTTGTGACCCATGATTCCTGCCACAAAGAGATTGAATCCCTTAAGGGACAACTGGGACTACAGCGCGCGGTCATATCCGCCATTCACCCAGAAGGTTTAATAGACCTATATGGCAGCGAATCAGACCAAGAAGAGCAGGTGAAATCTTTGAAGGCAGTCGATCCTCAAAGACCCCTCCCCATAAATCCTATCAATACCACCACTCAGACTGTTAAGGTTGGCAACAAAACCACTACTAAGACTATAACAGAGAATCACCTATGGTGACCAGAGGAAGTCAAAGCAATATCAGAAGAACTAGGCTCTCACAGTCGAGAGAATGCCGTACAGTGGCTCACAACGGCCACCACCGCCTATGTCGGTTTACCTGGAGAGGACCTAACACTGCTAGTGCGCTGGTGTGCCACCAGAGCTAGCCTAGCAGCCATTAACACTGCCATTTCAGCAGGGAATCTGATGGACGGAACCCAGATTCAGTGGATGAGACAAGTTCTCACCTACCTGAACCCAAACTCCAGCCTGAATGTCATATTCTTCCTGGAGAAACAAAGTGCTAACGAAGACCCAGAGACTTATATGGCCCCAAAACAACTTTTAGGACTTATTTCAAATAAGGTCGATGCAACTACCAACCCCCCAAACTTTGACGTGCCCGCCTTCTGGGACGCATTAATCAAAGGCTTTAATGGGCAAACCCAGCTAGCCTTGAACATCTCTGACCCCACACAGGGAACTTGGCCCGAACTGGAAGCCAGAATAAGGAGAGTGGCCACACTTCTAAGAGGATCTGGAAATTTTAACACTTCTAAGAGGATCTGGAAATTTTAAAACCCCTAAAACAGGAAACAGAAGAGACAAGGACAAGGAAGAAACTACCATTATGGCAGTTACCTATGCCAATAATGGACCAAACCATTACTCCCAAGACAGTCCCACGGGAGAACCTGGAAGCAAATATGGAAAGTTCATGGGCAGTTTTTATGACAGGAGAAATGGGAGATGCAATCAGAGAGGTGGAGGCACGTACCGAGGGAGAATGGGACACCGTTATGGTCCCGCTCCTGTGCAGGCGCACCCCCAACCCTCTGCCCCACCCCTACCAATTTACGACCAGGTACCGCAACACGGACCTTACCAAGGGTTCTCAGGTCAGCAGAGCAACCCAAATACCTCTAACGCACCGCAGGGCTTTCTGCCGCAGGTGCAAGGACAACCCTTTCAGGGCAGTCTGGGACAGGGCCAGAATGCAGGAGGCCCCCACACTAAGGGGAACCCTCTGCGCTGACATGCCTGGATGCGACTGAAGGAAAGAGGCTACAACATGGATGAGTTCCATGATCAGCCAGACGCGGTCCTCCTTAGCTGCGACACGACCAGCCGGGACCAATCCCTTCATGGAAATGATCTTGGCCATGGAATAGGGACGCTCGGAGCACCAAAGTCTCCCCCAAGGAGTCGTGGCAAAGTTCCAGCCAGACCGTTGGGGTAGGCCAACCATAAACTCAGGGATCGGGGCTCCAGGGACCATTGCCCCTGCGACTTTTCTTGTTGACACTGGTGCTGCCACTAACATTTTGAGACCACACTTTGCAGAGAGGGGCCAGCCATCTGGGACACATGTCTCTCTCTCTGGTTTCGCGGGAGGCACACACAAAGACCAGGTCTGGAAGAGCATCCCCCTCACATTGGGTACACTTTCCACTAGGGTCAGTGCCTGCTGCAATCACGGAGAGGACGATGGCATTCTCTGAGCGCCCTTCTTTCAAAAACACAGCCTGACCATTGACTTGGCGAATGGCTTCCTGTGACAAATCCCAGGGGCACCCCGCGAGGTCAATGCAGTACATCGCTGTGGAGCTCTAAAAACACCCCTACCCCTCACTCCTATAGCAGAGGACAGGTGGGAGGAAGAATTTCTGGAAATCTGGATCAAAGACAAAGCTGAGTGTGGCACAGTTAAGGATACATGCGTACTCATCAAGGGAAATGATCCAAAGCCTCAGAAACAATACAAGTATCTGGCAGAAGCTGAGGAAGGAATTGCCAAAACAATACAAGGACTTATCCATTGGGATGTCATAATCCCTATGCAGTCTATGTGCAACACCCCACTTTGGCCCATCCTTATAGCAGATGGAGTCACGTGGAGAATAGCAGTGGACTTCAGAGCCCTCAACGCGGTGACCCCTCTGGTTGCCCCAGTTGTGGCCAAATACAATGATATCCTAGCCGCCATTGCCGCTGGATCCCGGTACTACAGTGTAATCGTTCTGGCTAATGCGTTTCACTCAATCAGACTCCATGAGTCCTGCTGGTACAAGTTTGCCTTCAACTTACATGGCCAGCAGTTCGTTTTCAAAAGTACACCACAGGGTTTTCACTCCAGCCCCAGCATTTACCACGCACACGTTGTGCAAATGTGGGAACGCTTGAAACCCGGGTCAAGAGCTCACGTGCTCTCGTATGTAGATGACATTCTTATTGACGCCCCCACTGCAGAAGAAGTCACAGACATAACCAAGGAGGTTATGACTCTTATAAGAGACACTGGCTTTAAGGCCAGCCGCGAAAAAGCGCAACTCGTTCAATCAAATGTAAAATACCTAGGACTAGCATTAGGACCCAACGGCAGAGCCCCAGACATGCAGAGAATGGAAGTCATCTCTCGTTTGCCTGCCCCTACTGATGTGCCATCACTCAGAGCACTCTTGGGTACCTTTAACGTCTTCCGCAACTTCATTGAAGCCTTTGCAGACAAAGTGTGACCTCTTTACGCTTTGCTAAAGAAGGACACCCAATTTCACTGGAGTCCCGAGCAACAACAGGTGTTTGCTAGTTTGAAGCACAGCTGTAGATAAAGCAGTTGGTGCAACAATATGTATGTGTATATATGTGTGTGTGTGTACACACACACACACACACACACACACACAAATTTAGGAGAGGAATCTATGTAGCCAGGGTTATTGAGATGAATCCCTCCTCAACTCCCCATTTGAATATGTGTGTGTGTGTGTGTGTGTGTGTGTGTGTGTGTGTGTGTGTATGTGGAGAGGAATCTATGTAGCCAGGGTTCTGCCAGCCTCCTTTTGCTCCCATTAAAGACCAGAACAAAGTTGTGCTCAGAGCAGAAAATAATAAAACATTTTTGCTACCAAACTTTTCAGATGTTGTTGGCAGAAGAAATTATTTCCCCCTGGAACTGTCCAAATCACTGTAATTTGATCTCCTCTTCAGATGTTTCTCAGCCTTTCAGAAAGTTCCAGAAAGTAATCAGCTTCAAAATTGTTTCAAAACCATTGAGGGTAGACATCTAGATGTAGGTCGTCTCTGAACATAATTCTGAGCCCTCACATTTTGCCTTTTCAAGCCAGGTATCCCATCATAGGATTTTCTCTTTGAACTGACATGCATTTGTGTTGCAGAAATGTTTACCATAGCAAAGGCATTTCCTTTTAGAACATTTATTGGCAGACTCAGCTGCCATCCAAGGTAACCTTAGGAAGGAAGGATGAGTCTGTGAAAAGATACGGAAAAGGTGCACATTGCTGCCAGGATGTTGGAACTAAGACTGCTACTGCTGCTTCTGCCTTTGATTGCATCCAAAACAGAGACCACCAAATGTAGCATGAAGGATCCCCTCCCTGTTCCCCATGAGTGGTACCAGCCAGGAGATCTCCTCATTGGTGAAATTGCTTCTCAGATAATTTACCATTTGCATGAAATAGACTTTAGACAACATCCAGCTCAGGAGTTGCATAGGGAGCCACAGTAAGGAATTATTATTTTTTGGTCCTGTTACATAGAAGCAGCCTTGAGAGGTCCTCACTAAAGTTTAGGAGACCTTGCCCTATGTTAAAGAAACTGAATAGTATTGTCCTATAAGGAAATGGAATGAGACTTCCAATAGTTGTTCTTTGTTCCTGAGGAAGGACCAGAAGTTTAAAACACTGAAAACTACCTAGAAAAAGTGTTGGCTATCTACTCTGAACTCTGTATTTTTCCTTTTATGGATCTTGGTGGCTTCTGTATTTTCCTATGATCTATTATATGAATAGATACATTCCTGACTATATGTGCATTTCACTTTGTTGAAGTCTCCTTTTGGATATATATATATATATATATATGCAGTACATAATATATATATATA